CCAACAATCACAAAGGAAAATATTAATTCTCCTGAAAGCAGCATTTTGGTAATCGTATTATATGAATTTATTTGAATTATTTTATTTCCCCTTTTTATTGAGATGGAGTTTCGCTCTTGTGGCCCGGGCTGGAGTGCAATGGCGCGATCTTGGGTCACTATAGTCTCTGCCTCCTTGGTTCAAGCAATTCTCCTGCCTCAACTTTCCAAGTAGCTGGGATTACAGGCGCCTGCCACCATGCCCAGCTAATTTTGGTATTTTTAGTAGAGATGGGGTTTCACCATGTTGGCCAGGCTGGCCTTGAACTCCTGACCTCAGGTGATCCACTCTCCTTGGCTTCTCAAAGTTCTGGGATTACAGGCATGAGCCACCATACCTGGCCTCTTACTGAGTTTCGAGAGCTCTTTATATATTTGGGATACAGATCTGTAGGGGTTTGAGGGACCTGGGAGCTGATCAAAGAAAAATATGTGACCATGGGAGGCAGCAAACTTTACTGAGTGGGGCTTGGGTAGGGTTGTGTGAGAGCATGAGACCGTCTAGAGGCTTGAGGTGCAGGAGCCACCATCCAGAAGGGGAGGAGAGCAAGGGAACACTTGGAGAGGAGATGGGAGTGGGGACCTTTGTGTCTAGGTGATGTTGCTCAGCAGCAGGGGCGTGGGAGCAGATGGGAATCTCTGGGTCAGAGAGCTCTGAATGGCTGTAGCAGCCTAGGGTGTTATAACCAGAAGGCACTATCTTACCAAAGGGCAATAGCTGTCAGATGAGGTCTGTGGGGAGGGATGGCATGGGAGATAGCATGCAAAGCAGGCAGGCTCTAAAGGACTAAAAATCTGCTTGTTTGGGCCATTTTAAAAATAATTAGGTAGGTAAAAATTTGAGTTTGTCCCCAGAATCTTAGGCTAATGGGCCTCAGCCTGCATCAGACAGTCCAGGGCCGGGCGTGGTGTCTCATGTCTGTAATCCCAGCACTTTGGGAGGCCGAGGCAGGCGGATCACGAGGTCACGAGATCGAGACCATCCTGCCCAACATGGTGAAACCCCGTCTCTTCTAAAAATACAAAAATTAGCTGGGCTTGGTGGCATACGCCTGTAATCCCAGCTACTCAGGAGGCTGAGGCAGGAGAATCGCTTGAACCTGGGAGGCGGAGGTTGCAGTGAGCTGAGATTGTGCCACATACTCCAGCCTGGTGACAGAGCAAGACTCCGTCTAAAAAATAAATAATAAACAGTCCCGGAGTCAATACTTGGAGGCTGTCTTTGGCTCATTTTTAACAATTGATCCCATGGTCTGAGATTCTTTCAAAATTGTGGCCAGCACTGTGGCTCACGCCTGTAATCCTAGCACTCTGGAAGGCTGAGACAGGATGACTTGAGCCCAGGAGTTTGAGGCCAGCCTGGGTGGCATAGTGAGATCTTGTCTTGATCTCTTTAATAATCATAATCATAATCTACATGGTATGTTATTTTGTAATGCCTGGGCTTGGAGTCAGTGAAAGCATCTTTAGGACCCAGAATACTGCAAGGGTACAAACTACAATTTCAAAGCCTATTCACAGCCAGTCTATGTATTTAGTGGGAAGAGCCAGGCAAAGGAGAAGATTTTGATATATCTGTTTAGCAGAATGATATATTCTGGCCCTTGGCTGTATGTCCCTGGCTATCTATAAAGCTTGCTGTAGACATCCACATACAGTGAAATGTGCTTACAAGCACAGAGACCCCTCTTTTAGCAGCCAGAAGGTAATGTCAGACTAGGTACAGTCAACACCAGTGAGGGTAAGACAGCCAGAAGGTAATGTCGGACTAGGTACAGTCAACACCAGTGAGGGTAAGAACTTCTCAGGTAAGGAAGAGGCACAGCGGCAGAGGAGGGGTTAAAATCATAGGCCGTCTGGAACCAGCACCAGAGGATCCATTTTTCTCCCAAGTGTCACCCAACGGTGCTACCTGGTCCAGGGGCAATTAGAATTTTATCTCCTGGGCATCAGAAGCAGGTCTAGGTTTGTCCCAAGTGCTTTCCATGGAACACATATGTGGGTGGTGATAGGGATGCTTCCATCTCCTGTGAAATTTTTACTGAATAGAACATGTCAGTCAAATCTGTAAACCATTCCCATGTTATCTTGAATGTCATCCATTAAAGTGATGCCATCTGGTAGAGGTGCTCTCATAAAGGGAATGGCCTTGTGTAATTCTCTGGAGTCTAGAGTTAGCTAACCTCCACTCAGCAGTAGTGACTAAGCTCAGGCCATACTGGGAAATGGAAGAGGCGAGATGGTAAAATTCAACACCCCTTCTTTATGCCAGCTACAACCAGCCATTATCCTTCAGTGCCTTGCTGTGCCCTAGTGACCTATTTATCACCCTCACTGGTAGGGGATGGTTAGCTAGTTCCCACTGGATGATGCCTAACAAGTAGTGCTTCCTGTGTCTGAGGAAGAAAGAAAATCAAACCTGGATTACTGAGTCCAAGTCAGAAGTGGGTGGCCATAGCCACCTAGGACCAGAGGGATGGCCACTAAAGAGGTGTTAGAATAACACTAGATTATTTCTGTGGCTTCTCTTAACTTTTTCATTCCTTTTTTTTTTTTTTTTTTTTTTTGAGAGGGAGTCTTGCTCTGTCACCCAGGCTAGAGTGCAGTGGCGTGAATTCGGCTCACTGCAAGTTATGCCTCCCAGGTTCATGCCATTCTCCTGCCTCAGCCTCCCGAATAGCTGGGACTATAGGTGCCTGCCACCACGCTTGGCTTTTTTTTTTTTTTTATTTTTAGTAGAGACGGGGTTTCACTGTGTTAGCCAGGATGGTCTCGATCTCCTGACGTTGTGATCCGTCTGCCTTGGCCTCCCAAAGTGCTGGGATTACAGGCATGAGCCACTGTGCCCGGTGCCCGGCTTTTTTTTTTTTTTTTTTTTTTAACAGATGCCTAAACCCTCTTTCACACAGTTATGCAAATTGTGAGGCCAAGGATATGACTGCAAACAATTAAAGTTTAATTTACATGAATAAGCTTTCTTCCCCATGAAAATACTATGTGTTGCTTCACACTTGGTCTAACACACACACAAAATCCCCACCTTATCTGACACCGACACACTCAACATCCAGTATTAAGTACAATTTCCATTTTATTTTTCTCCAGAGAATAGTCTTCAGTCTTGAAGGACTCAGCTGTTTACGTGGGCTTTGGTGGGGGTCATGGGGCAGCACCCGCAGGTCTAAATCTGGGTGGGGCTTTTCGGTCCTTGTGGCCTTCATGAGATTGATTCCTGACTAGTTTGCTGTGAATTGCACAACTCACACAGTATTATAGCTTCACATACAGCTTGGGAAGCACATAGGCATCGAAGACGCTCGCTTCAGTAATGTCCCTGACTGCTGTGGCCTCCACTAGGTTTTGAATGATGAATTTCTTTTTGTTTTTTGAGACAGAGTCTCACTCTGTCGCCCAGGCTGGAGTGCAGTGGCGCGATCTCAGCACGGGGTTTCACCGTGGTCTCGATCTCCTGACCTTGTGATCCACCCGCCTCGGCCTCCCAAAGTGCTGGGATTACAGGCATGAGCCACCGCGCCCGGCCTGAATGACGAATTTCTTAATGGCCTTGTCACTGGGCACGCATCAGGCACAGTTTATGCAGCGAATAGGCTGCACGTGGTCATGGCCCTTTTTGGCATGACTGTTGTTCCTTTTCTTCGTCATCTTGGAGGCACAGACTGGAGAGAGCCAATTCATCTACTCAAAAAACAAAAAACAAAAAACAAAACTGTGCCCCAAATTATAATAGTCCCTTTATTAAACCTTCCTCAAATTACCTTAATTTGTATGTGACATCTTTATCATCCTGGGACCTTGACTGATATAAATCCCAAATGTGAGTTTTTTGTTATGGTTAGGAATTCTTTGAAGATAATTGTTTTTCTATCCTGGTTTCACCCATCTCTAAAGTTGAGGGAGGTAGCTGTTCACTCTTCTCTAATGAATAGATTTTCCTTCAGTTTACCTACAAGGAGTGTTACTTTTCTGAGGGTCCCGGATCTTGTAGATTTCTGATCTCACCACCAATTTGGTGGAGGCCTGTATTTCATCATGTAGCCTTTGGAATTCTATGAAATAAGACATTAACTTCAGCATTTGTTGAATTTTCTGGATTTTTTTCATTCTCCAATTTTGGAAGTTTGTATTCTATTCCAGCCATCTAACCATGGATTTTTTTAGTTTTGTTTTGTGTTTGTAGTTTTTTTTTTTTTTTTTTTTTTTTTTTGAGACAGAGTCTCACTCCATTGCCCAGGCTGGAGTGCAGTGACGCAATCTCGGCTCACTGCAAGCTCTGCCTCCTGGGTTCACGCCATTCTCCTGCCTCAGCCTCCCGAGTAGCTGGGACTACAGGTGCCCGTCACCATGCCCGGCTAATTTTTTGTATTTTTAGTAGAGATGGGGTTTCACCATGTTAGCCAAGATGGTCTCAATCTCCTGACCTCATGATCCACCCACCTCGGCCTCCCAAAGTGCTGGGATTATAGGAGTGAGCTACCGCACCCAGCCTTGTTTGTAGTTTTGAACAATGCTGAGGTGCTATACATGCTTTGCTCTGGGCCACCATGTTTCTGGAAAATGAAAGCCCAACAACAATTCAATTTTACCCACCTTTTAACCTAAGTTATCTGGGAATTGCAGATCCTTGTGGGATCCTACTTATTCCTGTTCCCTTTGGCAAGTGACATTTTTTGTACATGATTCTACACATTTCTCTCCCTCTGTCTTATCTTCTACCTTGGTCTCCACTGCCCATGTATTACCTTATAGAATCTGTTATCTCTTACAATCAAGAAAATGGTTTAACCAGATCTCTTCAACCATGTCATATGACCACTTCCATTGTTCTTTAATTTTCATTTTCTTCTAAGGGTCTCACTCTGTTGCCCAGGCTGGAGTGCAATGGCACAATCACAGCTCATTGCAGTCTCAAACTCCTGGGCTCAAAGGATCCTCCCACCTCAGCCTCCCAAGTAGCAGGGACTACAGCCATGTGCCACCACTTCAGGCCACAACATCTAAATTTCACTAAAATAATCATTCTGGGCTTGCAAATGAATTCTCTTTACTACATTGCAGAAGATGATGCAAGGTCAATTTTGTTAGTTTCCATATTACGTGTTCAAAGAATACATCACCAGCATGCTGTATTCACTTACTGTCACCGTAAGTACTATGCTTGCATTATCACACATCACACTGGAGATGCAGCTGTCAATGGAAAAATAAGATCATCAGTGAACAAAAGAGAAAGTAGGTATATCCATTGTTAATACTGAATTGGAACTTGACTAAGATATCAATATTCTTTCCAGGGAAAGTTACACTGGTTATTTGCAGGAATAGCAATCTCAACCTGCTCTCAAATATTATTGCCAGAATTGTCAGTATCTGATTTGACAGATTATCTGGTTTAATGATGATTGGAGAGGTTTTTTTTTTTTTTGATACAGGGCCTCGCTGTGCTGCCCGGGCTGGAATGCAGTGGCACCATGTCAGTTCACTGCAACCTCCATCTCCTGGGTTCAAATGATCCTTCCAACTCAGTCGCCCAAGTAGTTGTGACTACAGGCACACGCCACCATGCCCAGCTAATTTTTAAAAATATTATCTTGTAGGCCAGGCATGGTGGCTCATGCCTGTAATCCCAGCACTTTGGGAGGCCGAGGTGGGTGGATCACGAGGTCAGGAGATCAAGACCATCCTGGTTAACACGGTGAAACCCCGTCTCTACTAAAACTACAAAAAATTAGCCAGCGTGGTGGTGCATGCCTGTATTCCCAGCTACTTGGGAGGCTAAGGCAGGAGAATTGCTTGAACCCGGGAGGTGGAGGTTGTGGTGAGCCGAGATCGCGCTACTGCACTCCGGCCTGGGCGACACAGTGAGATTCATCTCAAAAAAAAAAAAAAAGTATATAATATATAATTTTATATTATATATATAAAATTATATATATATTAGATATATATGTATATATATATTTTCTTGTAGAGATGGGGTCTCAGCATGTTGCCCAGGCTGGTCTCAAACTCCTGCACTCAAGCGATCTGCCTGCCTTAGCCTTCCAAAGTGCTGGGATTATAGGCATGAGCCATTGTGCCCAGCCCTGGATTTTTATTTTAAAATAGAATTCTGCTCCCTTTTGAGTATACCTGTTCTACTCCAATAGAATATCATAAGAGATGCCATGCTTCCCTCCCCACTGTGTGATGAGGGAATGGTGGGAGCATAGCTCTGTTGTTGATTCTTATTCTGCATTAATGAAGTGACAGTTTTACCCCTTTCCACCAGGAGCCCAGAAACTGTAGGGTTAGTACCCTGTTGACCACTCCTGCCTTGCACTAACTCAAGTAAAGGTGACACTTCTTCCCCTCCCCACCAGGCCCTGAAGACACAGAGATGGAATCCTGTTGACTATCTCCCCGAGTGCACTGACGTGAGTAGAAATGGTACCCCAGACCAGGTGTGGTGGCTGACTTCTGTAATCCCAGCACTTTGGGAGGCCAAAGTGGGTGGATTACCTCAGGTCAGGAGTTCTAGACCAGCCTGACCAACATGGCGAAACCCCATCTCTACTAAAAATACAAAAATTAGCTGAGCACAGTGGTGCATGCCTGTAGTCCCAGCTACTTGGGAGGCTGAGGCAGAAGAATTGCTTGAAACCAGGAGGTGGAGGTTGCAGTGAGCCGAGATCGTGCCACTGGCACTCCAGCCTGGGCAAAAGAGTGAGACTTCGTCTCAGAAAAAAAAAAAAAAAAAAAAAAGAAATGGTACCCCTTCCTCTGCCCACAAAGCACTGCAGAGATAATAGCTGAAAACGTCCCCAAATTCATAGACCTATAGATTCAAAAAGTTAATCAAACCCAAACAGGTTAAACCCAAAGAATTTCATTCCAGACATATCCTAATCAAATTTCTGAGAATTAAAAACAAAGGAAATAACCTGTACTCAACCAGAGCAAAATGACACATTATCTAGAGAGATACAAAGATTTGAATGACAATGAATTTCTCATCAGACATCATGGAAGCCAGAAGGAAGAGGCAAAACATTTTTCAAATGCTAAAAGAAGTTAATACACCAATTAAAACAGAGTATCCCTGGTCAGCAGCAGAATGTTATAAACAAACAACAAATAAAGCACACAGAGTGTAGAAGGACCCCAAATAGCCAAAGCCATCTTGAGCAAACCTCATTACCACATTTGCTGGAGGCATCACATTACCAGATTTTAAAATACATCACAAAACTATAGTAATCAAAACATCATGGTTGTGGTTTTTTTGTTTTGTTTTTGTTTGTTTGTTTGTTTGTTGAGACTGAGTCTTGCTCTGTCACCCAGACAGGAGTGCAGTGGCATGATCTTGGCTCACTGCAAGCTCTGCCTCCTAGGTTCACGCCATTTTCCCACCTCAGCCTCCCAAGTAGCTGGGACTACAGGTGCCCGCCACCACGCCCAGCTAATTTTTTTTGTATTTTTAGTAGAGACAGGGTTTCACCATGTTAGCCAGGATGGTCTTGATCTCCTGACCTCGTGATCCGCCTGCCTCGGCCTCCCAAAGTGCTGGGATTTACAGGCGTGAGCCACCACGCCTGGCCGGTTCTTGTGTTTTCATCCCCAGAGACAAACTGTAAACAAACAAAAAATCCAGCATGGTACTGACATACATACAGATACATTGTCCAGTGGAATGGGATAGAAGGCCCAGAAATAAACCCTCACATTTAAGGTCAATTGATTTTTGTTTTAAACAAAAGTACCAAGAACAGTCAATGGAGAAAGGACAGTCTCTTCAATAAATGCTATTGGCAATGAAAAAGGAAAACTACAGACTAATATCCCTGATGAACACAGATGCGAAAATCCTCTAGAAAACAGTAGCAAACCGAATCCAACAGCAAATCAAAAAGCTAATTCACCATGATCAAGTTGTCTTCACTCCCGGGAGCAAGGTTGGTTCAACACATGCCAGTCAATAAACATGATTCCCCACATAAACAGAATTAAAAACAAAAAACCATATGATCATCTCGATAGACACCGAAAAAGCTTTCAATAAAATGCAGTATCCCTTTGTGACAAAAACCCTCAGAAACTAGGCACTGAAGGAGCATACCTTGAAATAAGAGCCATCCATGACAAATCCACAGGCAATGTCATAATGAATGGGCAAAAACTGGAAACATTCCCTTTGAGAACTGGAACAAGACAAGGATGCCTACTCTCACCACTCCTAGTAAACACAGTAGTGACTAGTAGTGATAGTAGTGATAGTAGTGATAGCTCTAGCTAGGAAGCCCTAGCTAGAGCAGTCAGCCAGGAGAAAGAAATAAAGGGCATCCAAATAGAAAAAGAGGAAGTGAAACTATCTCTTTGTGGACAATATGACAATATGATTGATTTTGTGTGTGTGTGTGTGTGTGTCTGTGTGTGTGTGTCTGTGTGTATAGATATATATAATATGTATTTTTAAAATCTCCCCAGAGAGGGTCTTGTTGTGTCACTCGGTCTGGAGTACACAATCATGGCCCATTGCAGCCTCAACCTCTGGGCTCAAGTGATCTTCACACCTCAGCATCTTGTGTGGCTGGGACCACCAGTGCACACCACCATGCCTGGCTAATTTTTTTTTTTTTTTTGTAGAGACAGGGTCTCTGTATGTTGCCAAGGCTTGTCTTGAACTCCGGGGCTCAAGTGATCATCTTGCCTCAGCCTCCCAAAGTGCTGGGAATACATGCATGAGCCACTATGCTCCATGACAATATGATTCTATACAAAGAAAACCCTAAAGACTCTGCCAAAATGCTCTGGGAACTGAAACCAACTTCAGTAAGTTTTCAGGATACAAAAATCAATGTACAAAAATCAGTAGTATTTCCATATACTGATACTGTTTAAGCTGAGAGCCAAATCAAGAATGAAACCTCATTTACAACAGCACCCCACAAAATAAATTACCTAGGAATACATCTACCCAAGGAGGTAAAAGATCTCTATAAGGAGAACTACGAAACACTACTAGAAGCAATCATAGGCCAGATGTGGTGGCTCACGCCTGTAATCCCAGCACTTTGGGAGGCTGAGGCGGGCGGATCACTTGAGGTCAGGAGTTCGAGACCAGCCTGGCCAACATGGCCAAACCCTATCTCTACTAAAAATACAAGAATTGGCCAGGTGTGGTGGCACGTGCCTGTGGTCCCAGCTACTTGGGAGGCTGATGCAGGGGGATCTCTTGAACCCGGGAGGTGAAGGTTGTAATGAGCCGAGATTGCACCACTGCACTCCAGCCTGGGCAACAGAATAAGACTCTGTCTCAAAAAAAAAAAAAAAAAAAAAAAAAAAAAAAGGAAATCCTAGGTGACATAAAAAAAAAATGCAAAAACATTTCATGCTCATGGAGTAGAAGAAGCAGTATCATTAAAATGGCCACAATCAACAGATTCATTGTTATTCCTATCAAACTACCAATGTCATTTTTCACAGAACTAGAAAAAAACTATTCTAAAATTTATATGGTATCAGGAAAGATCCTGATTCCATGTTGAATAGCCAGAGCATCTGGAGGAAAAAGAAGAAAGCCAGAGACATCAATTATCTGACTTCAAACTATACTATAATGTTATAATAACCAAATTAACATGGTATTGGTACAAAAACAGAATAAAGATTCAAGGAACAGAATAGAGAACCCAGAAATGAAGCCATACACCCACAGCCAACTGATCACCAACAAAAGTTGACAAAAAAACAATGGAGTAAAGACTCCCTATTCAATAAATGGTGCTGGGATAACTGACTAGCCAAATGTAGTAGAGTGAAACTGGACCCCTACCTTTCACCATACACAAAAATTAATTCAAGATGGATTAAAGGTTTAGATGTAAGACCCCAAACTATAGGAGTCCTAGAAGAAAACCTAAGGAAACACTATTCTAGACAACAGTGTTGGCTTCGGGAAAGAATGTATGACTCAGTCCTCAAAAGCAATTGCAATGAAAACAAAAAATTGATAAGTGGGACCTAATTAAACAAAAGAGCTTCTGCACAGGCTGTACACGGTGGCTCACACCTGTAATCCCAACACTTCGGGAGGCTGAGGCAGACAGATCACTTGAGGTCAGGAGTTTGAGACCAGTCTGGCCAACATGGTGAAACCCTGTCTCTACTAAAAATACAATTAGTTAGGTGTGGTGGCGCATGCCTGTAAT